CACAGAAGGGACTGGGATGAAGTTAATCTCAGCTGCTGTGTATTTGGTCCTAACTGGTAAGGAAAAAAATCAATGCACAAGAAGTGAAGGACTCAAGTACTTCAGTCATAAGCAGCGTTGCTTGATCACAGCTCATTTTTAATAGGTTAAGAAAGTTTACAAGCAATAAAGTATCATTTCTAAAGTGAACACTATCAAAACTACTATTTTCCTTTAGACTACTGGCTTCCTAAGGATTTTTTTTTTCCTTTCACTTTTTTTCTGAAAGAAATAAACCTGTTGGAGATCATGAATGACTGGTACCTAACGCTCTGTAACACATCATAGATACACATAACGTGGTGGGTCAAATTTCCCGCTAGGGTTTGCCATTGTAAATGAGAAGAGACTATGATGCGGTATTTGTTTGATTACTGGAGCCTACAAAGCTCCAGCGCTCTCCAAAACAGAGTTGCAGTTTCAAGCCACCCTTATTTAAAAAGACTTTGTGTACGCTCCACGGATGTGTATAACAAAATTGCTTTTAGAGCGACTAATAAACTAGAAACATGGGAAAGCTGGAGAGGAGCTTAAAAAGGATGAGAGGTGGAAAGAAACAAGGAAACAAAAACTAAAATGCCAGTTGCCATGTCCCTGGAAGCCTCCGCATGTTGTCTACCAGTGAAGACGACTGTGTTTGAACCCAACTCCACAATGAGCAGTAAGTGTTTGATAGCAGAATAAATCACTGCCTCTGTAGAGACAGGGTGGGTTCGAGAACAAGCACCTTCTAATTCTTCTAGCCGTGTAACTCTCTGCAACTCTGGAATGCATTCACATGCAGCCTAGGGAAGGGTGCGAGAAAAACTCATGTGCCACACTGCTATAAATTCTGTGTTGCTTTTAGATACACATAGAGATCTATATGTATGTTATGTATGTGTGTGTGTGTGTGTGTGTGTGTATATATATATATATATATATCTCAAAAGATTTGCTATAAGTTTTCTTTGAATAAAAATATGGTACTTGTCATAGCGATCACTGTTTATATAAATTTAGATTCGCTTCTTTTTTATTCATATTATAAATCTGCCTTTGGGTAACTTCCGACTTTTTCTTTTTTTTTTTTTTCTCGCAGGAATCCCGTCGCTGGGGGGAAAGCCCGTCTGGCATTAGAGAGCGTCTTACATCGCTCTCTACATCGCCAGGACAGAGCAGCTTCGTTCTCTCCCCTACAACGAGGGTCAACAACAGTTAGGTGATGAGTTAATCATTTAAGAGACAGGCTAAGGAATGTGGAAACTAGGGTTGTGTTTTACTGTAGGAAAAACGGAAATCATATTTTCTTTAGTTGAATAAGGCACTATGGGTGGGTTTTTTTGTTTGTTTGTTTGGTTTTTTTTGCATTTGAGGTCCTCACTGCTCTTTTTTCTTGTCCTCTTTCCCCTCTGGAGCCTGCCCTGCTTCAATATACCAGTAAAAACATACAGCCACGTTCTTCTCTCTAACGGCCTCTCTTAATTGCTTTTGTCTTTGATTAAGCAAAGCTGAAATCAGAATTTAATCCATAAATTTGGAATTAAACTGGGGGTGCGGGGGAGGAGGTGGAGAAGGCTGGAAATGTAGCCAAAGGGCAGCTGAGTAATTTGTCTGAAAAATTGCCCAACTTGGTTTAAGCCAATATTTTCAAACTCTTTCACATGGAAAAGAAGTAGAGCCATAGCAACCACAATAAATATGGTGTGTGTATATAATTGCCAAGAGGCACAGGCTTTATAAAATAGCCCTGTAACTTCCAGTATATCTGATGCTTTGTCTTAACAACAGTGGCTACACGGTAAGGCAGTACCAAGGCTCAAAGAGCTATTCCAAGCGCGAGGAACGACCATTTCAGCAGG